TGTTTCTTACCATCCAAGAGGAGAGCAAAGAGTGAAGTAAAAAGTCAGCCGAATGCGTGAGTGCAGTATCTGTAAAAAGCTGCACGGATTTAGGTTTAACACGGCTAGCTACCACCATCTCTAGAAAGATCAATTATGACGAGACTCAGAGCAGGCCTGAGGGAGCTGCCAGGCTCCCAAAAAACGTGCTCCACCCTCTCTTCGCCGACGACTCAAAACAAAAACGGAGCAACAGAGCAGGAGCGAACGGGAGGGGGTGAAGCCAGGAGAGGGAAAGAGGGGAATGGGCGGGTGTTTTCAGTTTCAGTTACATCGATGACTCAAATATTCCACCAGCTTCAAAATCTCCTCGCTGAAGTAGAAGTTCCACAGGAAACTCACTTGTTTGAAATTCAACGGCAGGCGCGCAGACTTACACATGCGCACACTTGTACACAAATACACAGAGGCACACACATGCAGACAGAGAGGCAGCCACACACTCCGGGATAAATACAGTGTGCATCTGCGACAGATCCACAAACGCAGCATTGTGGAGTCGAAGATCTGACAGTACCACTCCCTAAAAGCGCCAAAAACAACTGAGGTCCGTCTCCAGGTCAGAGAGGGGATAGACAGTCTATCAAAACACCCCCACACCTAGTTCCTTTATTTGCTCAGTATCAATCTCAGCATTAACCCTCTGCTAATGGGACAGCTGTGGGTCAGCGCCTCGCATCTTCGGGATGCCAATCAGGGCCTTAAGCTGAGAGATCAGCCTTCGGGACAGAGGTGCTCGTCTGCCTCTGAGTGGCTTCTTAAACACGGAGACGCCTGTATCGATTTTAGCTCTAGCCTGAGAGAGAGGAGAGGGGGGTGTCGCAGTAGCCAGGGCCTGTGTCGGCAGCGGCTGTCTGTGAGTCTGGACGGGAGCCAACCCCCGGTCCCCGACCACTGATCAGGGGGCCTGACAGAATGACCTAGCAGAGAGGCACTGAACCTGCAAACACGAAGGGGGCAAGGAGCTGGATGCTCGAGGGGGTCGGGGCTGCAGGGGCAACATCAGCACAGATCTCAGTAATAGAAAAGGGTTTTAACCTTAATGTTGAAGCCAAAACCCTGTTAGAGGCCAAGTAATCCCCCCTGCGCCACTCATTTGAACTGACTGACTCTCACCCTCTCGGTGAGCGGCTTGTGAAAGACTATGACACTTGTGTCGAACTGAAGCATACAATTTAGTGCATGATTAAAGATTAAAGTTATCAACAATATAGAAAGCAGGGCTGCACAATTATTTGCAATTTGGACAAGTGCAATATTCAAGTTGCAGACGGCACAATAGACTTAATATGTGTTAAAATATCATTTTGAATAAGTATTGTGGAGCTGCAGAGATATACAAATGTGTATTCTACAGATATAGCAAAACATATATTTGCTTTTGGTAAAACAACTCAATGTTAAAAAGTACAATCATAGAATAGCTAAATATGTGTAACCAGCAAAAGACAGCACCTATGCAACATTACAACCTAAAATGTCTCATATCACAATATCAAGTATTTATGTATTGCCGACCCCTTATAGCTAAAAGTAGTTTTATACTATGCTATTGCTACTTTCATTAATGTAAAATGTCTGAATATTTATTCCACCACAGCACAAAAGAAACTGTTAGACGCAAATGTCAATTGGTCTAAACAGGATTTTGAAAGATTATAATAAAGATTCCAATTCCCTGCAAAAAACAATTAGAAAAAAACACAGTCTTCCTCCACAATTAAAATCCATAGATGTTGCATGGTATCTTACAGAAGTACTTGAAAGACCGCAACCATGAATTGAGGTATGCATATCTAATCATTTGGCTCAAGTATTTTGAATATCAAAAAAAAATTAACAGTGAATAGGCTCGGGCACTTGGGGTAAAATATGCTAATGAACACACTTGAAATGTCCCATATGAAATCTATCTGCACCAAGACAATGAGAAAATAATTACAACAGAGGTAGAATTACAATGGGCATTTTAATCAACCCCTACACTAGCATTTCACCCTATTTATACCGTTTTTGATTCCATGACCCACTGGTTAGTAATCACTTGAAAATGATGGGTCCGTTTATAATAGGCCTTAGACACATTATGTCTGCAGAGACAGGGCTCTGAGGATTACAATAAAGATATGAATCTTGAATAACAACAATCACTATGCGCTTCCTATGGCGGAAAAGAAACATTCTGTGAAAAGAAAAACTGCCATGAGGTTAAAAAGTAACTTTGGAATAATAGGCAAAGTGTGACTGAATGTTGATTCAATACTTATATTTCAGCAGTGATAATGAAAATGATGATGAAGGGGCACTTTCCCTTTGTTTTATCTTCGTCTTACTCTGCCAACTGTCTAATATCATAACACTTTATGGTTTTGTATATAAATCTTAATTGTTGCACTGTCAAGGAATCTTTTCCTGGCAAAGAGAGGTGCAAGTATGAGACACTCCCCCGTTAAACAATCCCTTTTACTGCATTTATTAGGGGTCACAAATTCACTTCTAAAAGGTCAATTTTGCGTACAGGTAATAACCTTGAAAGTGTGCCACTAAAGAGTCCAATCAGGTATTCACACAAAGGCCAGACTAATGTCTTTCCTTTAAAAGGGAAAAGAGTCGTGTTATTTGACCTTCCTTTCTCACTACAACCTCAGATAAAAAAAAACAGACCTGTTCTTAGGAAGCTAGTAAGGTTATCAACTACAGAAGCGTTCAGAAAAAGGAAAGTATTTGACAATTTGTTGAATAATTTGACGATTAAACTCCTAAAATTGGTGCTGGGTGGTGGCAATTTATTCTGAGGCAGGAGCCGCAGAGCCAAGGCCCTGTTTGCAGGAGATATCAGCTGCTTGAAAACCCAGAACGGTCTCTTGAGGAATGTCTGTCTCCCCCACAAGATTCTCCCTCCTCCCTCCTCCCCCAGGATGGCAGCGCCACAGAGGAACCGTTCACTGACAGGGGCCTAACAGGAAGGGCAGGATTTGACTTAGTTTATTCGTTTAACAAGCCGCAGTGGTTGGCACAGGGGTAATCACCGCACTGCAACTTCGTGTGAATTTATGATACTCCCTTCATTAACATTTCAGCTACTTAGGTCACACTTGATGATTCATTATGTTCAGTTCCACAGTGTTTAATGTACTCTCCTGAAAAGGCCTGCTGAAGTCTACGTTGCTTCTTTAAGGGGACCCGGTTAAAAAGACAGCTTGTCAAAACAATGTTATCATAGCTGAAATAGGATATGCGCTGTTTTTACAAGGTCACAACAAGCTTCCTCTTGTTGTGAAAAGTCGCCGTCCACATACTGTACACAAGCTCTCAATCGGACAGCGGGGGATTGGGCGGAAAAAACAGCGAGGGGCCAGGATGTACGCAGGCATATGATTTCTTATTGATTTCCTGTTTCTGCTGTGAGGAGGGCTCTCAATTACTCCTGCCATCGAGCAATCCGATTGGTCACCTCAACCAACAAAACCACAGTGAGACTACGACACAAATAGGTTAATTTGAGCCCCCCTTAATGTAAGAACTCCCAGCTTTGATTCAACCACAGTCAGACACAGGAACATGAAACAAAGATTATAGCACCTTTGGGGGTTTTGCCTGTATTTGACATGACTATTTATGTTCTTGTAACTCTCTCAAAAGAGAAGTGGCATATCTGCCTTCCTCTAAAATTCCCTTACAGACAGACAGACAGACAGACAGACAGTGTGTGTGTGCGTGTGCGTGTGTTGCAGAGGGGGGGTGACATCAATTACAAACGCAAAACTGTTGTCACAGGGGCTTATCTGCTGAGATGAAAGAAAAGCATGCTTCCCTCCAGAAGTGCAATACTCCACACACCTGCCAAGCAAGAGAGACCTCTTGACAGAAAATCTCTTTTTTCCTTTTGCAACTGAATCTCTTTTCTGTGCCGATTCAGTAAACAACCCACTGGCAAGTCATTAAGCCTTCCAAAAAAAAGCGCCCTGAAAAAGTTAACAAGCTAGAAACAAAAGAAGTGTTGTGTCAAATGCAAACACAATCCTTATTCTAGCTAGGCACTTACATGGATGGAAGCAATCAGCTGCTATTAGCCTATGCTGACACAACGCACTCTTCTTAAGAACAATAAAATACACACAAAGCTTTCAGCCGGTTTCTTTTTGTGACCTGCAATCCATAGCTCAGTATCAAGTCATTTAACTGAGCAAGAGTGCATCGAGACTTAATTAGACCTGCTGTTAACTCGAGCAGTTCAACGCCAAATAATTGTTTTGTAAAACCTCCTTGTGTCAGGACATTTGCATAAAACAATGTGATTATTTCAGAGTTACAATACAGGTTGCCAAACTTTCCCAAGTTATAAAAGCAGATTATGAGATGCAGGAAAAAGCCAACTATTATTTTACAATGAAAAACCAGCAGACAAATGATAAATAAAGTAGATTAATGGTAGGAACAAAATACCGCTGCCTGCCATGTTGTCTTAGTGTGACGCTGAAGCAGCAGCTGGAACAATTCTTCCTCAATAGGTCAATGTTTGGTACGGGGGGAAAACATTGTGGCTAAGACGCAATCAGTGCGTTAAAGTTGTCGATGCCAGAACCACAAACAGGATTTCCCTTCTTCCAAAATACTGGAACGTCTGGAAGTCCTTATGGTAGAAAGACAGAGCATGCTATCACTCATTTTGGTGCTGGATCTTCTACTTGAGAAAAGCTAATAATGACTTGGCCTTGTGACCCTGTGCGAATGTCATAACAACTTTCACAACACTTGGAAGATTAAATTAGAATCATCTAAATGTTTAATTGCTAAACACCCACCGCAGTTAATCTTAACTACCCGACTATGAAAAAGCTCAAATATGTTAATCATTTCCACTCGCTCCCTATTAAACGGCTCGTTGTTGGTTATCGTTCGAAATAACACCAAGATATCATGCTGTTCGCCCGCAGCTGTTCCAGGTTGTTAAAACTTACTTCTTACAGGCTCGCCATAAGTAGACTTCTCCTCGGTCACGTGACTTTGTCCTCCGGCGTCCGGTTTTCTCGGAGATGCTGTTCTTCCTGACGATTCACTGTCACAAGCATCTGAGGATCACAAGCATTTGCAGTTAAACACGGACAAAGAATATAAGAAGGAAAGCATGTAGAACAGAAAGTTAAACAGAAAGATATTATGTGGCAAGAGGTTGTTTCATTTAATGTTACTCTATTAGGAGCTCAACGGTTTGAAATGAAGGTGCATTACAGCCATTCCTCCATGGGGATGTAACGTTTTACAGGGTCAGCCTTAGTGGACAAAATGTCAGGGACAGCTGGACGAGGCTGAGGTGCAGAGGTATTTCTTTTGCCGGGCAAATGGTTGCTCAACATGGTGGGGCGGTTCAGGTAAAGGCCTTGGCAGAGCTCTGGATCTCATTTTCTCTCCTTCTTCTCCCGGGTGCGCTCTACCTGCCAAGCTTCTTTTTACTGCCATAAAGCTGCATTCATCTAAATTGGAAAAAGTATGCGGGTAAAGACTCCAGGCCCGATAGCTGTGCAAAAAAACACAGTTTCACTCATCTCTCTAAGCCAGGGGTGTCAAACTCAATTTCATCGCGGGCCACATTAGAATTATGGTTGCACTCAAAGGGCCTGTGGTAACTTTAAGACTATATAAATATACATAGATAAATATATATAATATAATGTATTATTTAACAATATTTCCTCTGCATTGGATTATTATCTGATAGGGTAATAACTTAACTACGTCTGAAAGCAGAAGTCTAGGGCAAATAATTGAAAGTAATTGTTTCAAGTCTCTTCAGTGCGCATCTCACAAAATGAGATGCATTGTGGGACATGTAGTTTATGGGCAACGTGCTCCTGTAAAGCGGCACGTAACCTTATAATAAACGTATGATATTCTTTGCAAGCTCTTGTGGGCCACATACAATGAGGTGGCGGGCCGGATTTGGCACCCGGGCCTTGAGTTTGACACCCCTGCTCTAAGCCCTGTCTTTTAGCTTTTTGACTTCAAGACTTGCTGACGCTTTGCACACTGCTGCTTTGTTCAGGAAATAAACCTTCCACAATGACTTTATTCACTGCTTACGAGCCAGGTGCTTTTCATTGGCTGAAGTTTTTCTCATAGCTTGCACGTTCTTCAGTAACATACCGCCTCATGAGTCACTTTTGTGATTCTAAAAAGGAAAAAAATGGAGAAGAATGATTCAGCAAAACCTAGCAATCTTGTTTACTAAAGCTTGAAGCAGTTGTTACAATGCGGCAACACTCTCTGTTTGTAAGCAGTGATGGGTGGGGGAGTGGAATGGATGGGCGCAGGCTAGCAGCCCTAGATAGATATGGCATATCTCAGCTCGGAGCTGATGTACAGTATGGTAGCAGAGTTGTGTTAGCAGCAGTACTGTGTGATGCATCGCAGTATTTAGTGATCACAGTTAGAAATAAATTGCTCTATTCTCAGTACATCCACAGTCCCCTGAGAGGGGAAATCCAGTCTTAACTACAAGCGCCTTTGAAGGTCCAGCGAAAATCCATTCGCAATCCAGCAGCCCCAGTGATTGCTTACTTTGTCCTACTTTGCTATTTTTTGACAGTGCCATAATGATGCTTGGTATAAATAGGATGGTTAATGGTTCATTGCTTGTTTGAAGAAAAATGAAAAAAGGGGGTGTGGGGGTAAGCTTATTTTACATGTGATAATCTTAGGGGCAACTAGAAAGTTAATTAAAAACTATAATTGGCTGTGGTTGCTGTTAAGAGTCACCAGGGCGTTTCTTCAGACTTTATTGAGGAAAAAGCAAAAACATTATCAAGGCTTAACACTGGAACACAGATACTGATGTGTACTTAAAATCACATGAATATCATTTAAAAAGACAAGGCTGATATTGTCCAAAGCTGGCCTACAAATGCTCCATACACACCAGTAAACTGTTAATGCGGTCACTGAAAAATTGACATGTTTGGCCTTATAAGCAACACGAGTTCTTGACCATAGATGTCACTCGTATTTATAGCTAGTGCATTGGCAGCAGGGAGAGAAACTACATTAACATTCACAAGAGAGAACTTCAAGTACACATGAGCAGTGCATTATATACTGTAGCAGAGATTCTGAATTGTTTGCAAGTCATAAACTACTTCAACAGACATGTTTTGTATTAGTGGACCAAAAACATTGGGCTCCATGCCTCATGAGAGTAGAAATATGCTAATAGGTGTGAATTGGTGCATAGCTGGACGTATTTACACTTTAGGAAACACTTTTCTTACCACTTACTGAAATATTAGTTAAATTACATCTTGTTATATGAACTCTGGGACCTTTTTGTTGCCCCCTAGGAGCCCTAAACCCCACCTTGGTCACCTCAATGTAACTTATTTCCCCTGACAGTGATGTGTGGCCTATCCTGTGTGTCCTTACCTTGTGAGGCTGACAGCAGGGGACTTGTCTCTTGCTGAGGGCCCTTCCCTGGCCCTCCCGGCCCATCCGGAGTCAGGACAGTCTCCTTGGACATGAGACAGTCGTGTTTTTGGGACACACACAGCCGCAGAAGAAGTTCCTCCTTTCCCTCAGCCCTCAAACCAATGTCTCATCATCAGCTGAAGACACAAAGCAACACCGTGTCAACTTGAGACAGCCGTCTGCTTATTCACACAGCGAGAAAAGTGACGTCGAGCTGCAGTAAAAACTTAGTGGAAATTTCCCTTCTCTCGCTTCTTACATAAACTTGCTGAAAGACTCCATGTGCAGTTCCCACACTCCCCTTTTTCTTTATGAAAAAAAGCGTCAAGGTAAGTGCTGTTTATAGCTAAAGCGGACATAGTGTTTATAAAGAATGACTTACCTTTCAAACATGACAACTCCCTCGCTTCAAATGTAATTTATTCCTATCCTCCCTGCAACTCTTTCTCGGGAAGAAAAGACGAAAAAAGGGTGAAAGAGAAGCGACGAGAAACTTTTTTAACGGTAAGTTTAGCAGTCAGCGCGTGTCCCAGTCCCACTTTGTCCAGATGTTAACAATAATACTTCTCGCGCGACACTTTCGACGTGCAGTAGTTTTCTGATAGTTGCGTCTCAAACTTTTCATCATATCCGGATTCCTGCAGTGCAGCCTCTCTTCTCTCTCTTTGCTTCCCTTCGCGGCAGAGAAGTGAACAAAGCCCTCCCTCAACAAGTCTCCCAACAAATAAAGTTAGGAAAAAGTAAAAAAAATATTTTAAAAAAGGTCCATAAATGTAACTTTTTATGTGTATTCTACATTCAAATACGCTAAATTAAAACATATCGTTCAAAAATATTACATTGAGGCCTACTTTGGGGCTATACAGGGTAATTGCAGGTGTTATTAAAGAGAACATTTATTTATTTTTCCTACGTTTTCAACATCCTATATGGAAGACGATTAGAGCCATAGTGACTTTTTTTCCGAAATTTTAGAGTCAGAATTCTGGCTTTAATCTCAGAATAAACAAAAAATCTTGGCCTGATCTCATTAAAAAAAAAAAATCACATGTGGCCCTTGTCCTCTTCTGTACTTTTGAAACCAGCATGTAATTGTTTCAAGATAATATATGAACATCATACATTATGTTGACGTACCGGTAAAAACAAAGGAAGAGAACGAAAACTAAGTGAAGTGATATTTCAAATAAAACATAAAAGGGTCATTCCAGAATTGGAGGACAATTTAGACACCAACATTTTTGAAAAATGAACCTTTTATTTTATTTATTTTTTTATGTATTTAGGAAAAACAGATAATAAACCATCAAAAAAAGTGATTTGCCCAGCTAGGCATCAAATTAATATTTTCCAATGAAGAATTACCCCTGTTACTCTAATTATAGTAACAGGGTTGAAAGTAACAGGGTTGAAAATCAATGCTAATTTGAGTTTAACCTCAGGAATTATTGCTAGATGTAGCATGTAATGCTACTTGCAAGGCAACAACCAACTTGGATATCTAATGCAAGAAAGATAATTTTTAAATGAATATGATTTATTCTGATAATATCAGTAACAGGGTTGAGTGGGTCAGAGTGAGCTCTTTTAAGACTGAAAAGATTGTAAAAATATGAAAAATAAAAGAGAGGACTTAGTTTTGGTCTACCCATGGGACTAGCACATGGCTTGCTGATGTCACTTCCACTGTGTCATTTGATTTACAGTTTGTTCACTTCCTGTGCCAATCTAAAAAGGTTTGGGTAACAGGGTTGAACGCATGTTTAGGGACACACCTTCTGTGCAAAATTACTGTTATCTAAAATATGTTTATGATTTAACGAATTGATTTTACCATTACAAGAGACATATATCAATAGAATAATACCAAAAAAAGTAAATAAAATCCCTATTTTAAATGTTATATTTGACATGCAAGTTGGTCACCAAGAAGCGGGGACAAGAGAAAAATGCCATTTTAGGGGATGTTCGAGAGCTATTTGATAATTTAAATAAAATTTTGAAACCACTTTTTCTACAACTTTATATACATCTTGTCTCAATACAAGTATGTTTAACACAACAAGTGCATGTTTTAGCTTTTTGGACATGGATTATTAGATTTTTTATATGGGGGACATGAAATGTCCTCCAATTCTGGAATGACCCAAAATCCCAATTGGTTCTGGTAGCCTCAAGTGACTAATTCAACTTTGTACGTGATTTTAATCTTAATACTTTCCTTTTGGGGGAAAAAATTGCTTTAATTCATTTTAGCTTAATGCTTATGATCATGCTTTTATTGATTCCCATTGTGGAATATGCTTGTTGCAGGCCAGCAATACAGAAACATTGTGAAAAATGAAGTATGTAAAACTAAAATAATAATTGAATACTCAAGATATTAATAGAAGACCATTTAGAGACACACATTATAAGGTAAAGTGACATTAGTGATGTATAAAGCAAACAGTGACATCAGATAAAAACCATTAAAAGTTAATCAAAATGTAATTCAGTGGAAATGTGTGTTTCTTCAGTCTTTTAGTGCCTGCACATGAGCCATTTAAAACTTTTAATATGATTTAACAGCTCTCTTTAACAGCTCAATAAAGACACATTGGATTGTTTTATCAGTTTCACTTTATGACATTTTATTAGAATGAATTATAAACATCATAACTGAACTCATGAGACATATCACAAGCTTGCTACAGAGAATATCAACATTATATTCATATTTCTGTTTAACCTGTACTGTTTAATACAGTGTATTTTCATCTGCTCTATAATTAATGTTGTGTTGATATAACTTTTTAAGCAGTTCTACCCCTTCCATATCCTAAATACAGTACGTCTATAGGATTCATTTATTTTTGAGATTTGTTTTAAAGGGGTCGAGTTGGGCTAAAGGTGGGAAGTTAAAACTCCCAAGGGTATCATTTAGCGCAAACATAAGTAAGGTTACTCTGTAGGATTATTTACATTATGTTGTCTGGAACTGCTACCCCCGCGACCCGACCACGGATAAGCGGGAGAAGATGGATGGATGTCTGAGAATGTGAGCTTCATTGGCGCTTCAGTGTCCCCGGCTTACACTATCTCTATGAAAATAGGAAAAAAAATACTTGCAAGAAAGTTAGCCAACATGAGTTAAAAAAGTTTCAACAACTATAAATATAGCGTGCATTAAAATCTAAAACCACCTCTTTAGTGCCTTCATCATTTTCTACTTTTCCTAATTTCAAGAATACATAATAAATAAATGCCCCATGCTGTGTCTTCTATATGTAGTCAGCATGGTATTGTTAGTGCAGTGTCTTGCTGATTGCCATCATAGCCATTGAACCCTATTGGTAGCAGTATAAGTGAGATTTAAGCCTTGGTAACATGAGAGTGTGGAGGTGATTGATGTGAAATATGCCCTCCCTCATTGACTGGCTGAACTCCATTTTCTGCTACTAATGCAGAAATCACTCCGGGTCCCCAGCATAATGATTTACGATGAATCTGTGTCAATGTTGAACTCGGCAAACCCCACGTAATCCATCTTGCAGATATACCTACCTACCCCGCCCCACCTTGCCTGCTCTCACCCGCCCGTCCCTTGCTTTAGCAAATGGAAGGTAAGGAATGCGTCTCCCTCTCTCTCTCCGTCTATAAGTGTTGAATCCATTACAGGGCTGATGTGTAATCACAGAGGACCTCTGTGCCCCCTCATACTGTAATTACCTGGATACAGATACTCCCTCACTCCATCCCCTAGAGCTGCTCAAAGCCAAGAACTCTGTTAACCAGCATGCAGTGCTTTCGGCCTGCCTATCTGGGTGGCGATGTGAAGATATATTTGAGAGATGAGGCCTGTGAGAAAAAAAATCATGGATAAAATTGCATTTAAGTAATGGGATTTTGACCTTGCAGTGTGTAATGGCCATAGTTCACCTCGGAGATTGAATCATGCACAGAGCAAATCAAAGCCTGCTTGCATCTCGATAAACTGACTGCCAAGACCCAACCCCCCCCACCCCTAGCCCCCCACCACCACATATGGAAATATTTTGAGGAGTGTACACGCAGAATGACTGCACCGTGAAATCAACCCCGGGTGTCTCTCTTTGTCTCTTTTACATGGTGACATCGCCGTTGCTGCTGACAAACATTATCTTGTGTGTGATCATGTGCATAGTGTCAACCCCCCCCCCGCCCCCCAAACACCACCACACTACTCCCTCCTTTCAAAATAAGTCAAAGTGGAGCCGGCTGTGTAGACACAGTAGGCTGTCACACTGTGTCAAGCGTCGGTGTCAGTGTTGCATCTGTTGCAGTCACATCTCAGAAGACACAAGGAAACGTCTCTCTGTTGACTTCATCTGTTTGTTTGGCATCCTGCCTGATTGCTGGAGTGTGTGGTGGAGAAGAGAAGCGCCGGCTCAGTCGGTGCACACGCTGCCAACAGGGCCTAATCCTCCTCTTGCCCAGAAAAGAAGGGAAACAGGCCCCAAACAAACATCTCTGTGTGTGGCTTTTCTTGGCTCACACACACACACACAAAACACTGCAGAAATCCATGCATTCTCAGTCTTTAAGATTCAAAGGCTTTATTGTTATATGCACAACAACTTCAGCGTGGCAATGGAAACCTTAAGTCCCAGACTCCTCCAAGAATATAACATACAAAACACTAAAGACATACAAAGCAAGGCAATAAAGCAAGTGACATAACGGTGCAAGTGCAATGCAGGAATGAGTCAACTTTATTCATGTGAAATAGAATCAGATAAAACTGAATTCAGGATTAGATACAGTGCAGTATAATGAAATACAGTTTATTGTTTAATGTACATATATGGGCTATTAGCTGCTATAAACACATGTAGGTCATGACACTAGAGCTCCTCTCAGGACTTCAGCCGTCTTATTGATCTTGGGATAAAACCGTGAATACAGTGTATGTTTATATTCTATATATATAACAAAAACAGTCCTTTAACACACTATTGTTTAAAGTTAAGTTTTGTTTCATATTCATCAGTAACTTGAAACTTTAGCTTCCTGCTAACCACATTTGTTTTTTGTTACAGCGTAAAACTTTTTGCATGAACTCCTGTGAAAAAGGGAAATGGCTGCAGGACAGAATATCTGTAATTATCTCTAACAAGCGTATTCCTTAGCGGGCTACCATTCTAATAGAAATGCAAAAGTTGGCCCGCGTTGGCCTTCGCGTCTGCTTTAATGGCCAGGCGAAAGAGTTGAGGTGTCGCTTTGAACGGCAAGAAGTGGCACCTGTACCTGATCAAACCTTCAAAGATTTCACACACCGGTCCACACAGAATGAGTAGTACTTAATAAGTAAGGCTTTTTGAAGCTGACCGTGACACCGGCTGAACCCTGACGCCCTCACATGATTAATAGCATTATGGTAAGTCCTTTTTTTCTCTCTAAGTAAAGGATTGTTTGAGGCTGTCTGATCAAAACATTCACCTTTTTTATTGGTCCGACTGTCAAAGGAGGCAGACTTTGTGTTGGGCGGTTTGTATTTCATCTGTCTGGATGGGGAATGGACATGAATAGGGCCTGACTGGATGGACTCATTAAAGAAAAACATCTCTATGATCAGAATGAAGCCTGTTACTGCATGATTAGCGTTTCAATGCAAACAAACACCCTATTCCTCA